CGGGTGCCTTTCCATGTTCCCAGCTGCACTGCCAGTGGGCCCGTTTGCGAGGTATTGCTTTGGTGCGGCCCGAGGTTCAATCTTAGCGCAACATCTTGGTGTTTCAGCAAGGTCCAGACGAATGTTGAGTCATGAGTCGATCTACATCGTATCGGGGGGGCCTCACTCCGCTGGTTCGGGTTAGCGGAAATCGTCGGTACACGGAACATGGGGATTTCACTGCCTTGTTTGTGCGAGCGAAAGACAGCCGATGTAGCTCTCTGTCCGTCCATGTGCTGCATGCCGTGTGCGCCTACATTAGTCGTCTTGAACGTTCAGGGATGCTCTCGCCGAGTCTGGATACCTCCCACTTCACTGGCGACAGTAGCCGCGTGGTAACGTCCTCCTCCTCCTCCTCCTTCTTCTTCTTCTTCTCCTCCTTTTTTATTGGTGGTTTTTTACACAAATAGAGTGGATCTGTATTGCAGAGGGAAACAGACAATGCACGTGCTTCACCTTGTTACGGATGAGAGGTGATGGTGGTTTCACGTACTAATCATGGACGTGTGTGACTAACCACATACTAACCTTGTGCTGTTGAGTTAGGGACTGATGCAAATCAAAATGAGTTGGCTGGCAAGATTAGGAGGCGACCACCCAAGAGTTGACCTCTCCAGCACACACATTAGATTTGGGAGCCACGGAATATTGAGCTTGTTTAAAAGAAATTGATGACAAATTTTGAAGGTCACAAATATCTGTCAATGGACAATAATTGCTGAACTCTGTGAAAGTGAAACTTAAAACATGAAGAAGATTAACTAACTCCCCTGTGATTTAGAGTGGATGAAAATGTGACGGCTACCAATACCACACCTACACTACTAGCACCCTAGTAAAACCTCATGGCTACTACTTGTGCACAAGCCAAACCAATGGTGCTAAATCCAAGTCTCATTCAAGTACAAGGACCAACTCAACAAAATTCACACAAAGAATATTATAGGCATCATCAATACATAATTTACAAATGATCCATTTAAGGTGAAAAGAACCAAAATATCTTATTTAAGAATTTGTAATTGTTACTTAATGAAGGCACTAAAGCTATCAAATTGGTACAACTAGATACTATTTGTGTTGTTGACAAGACAACTTATTTGAACAAGTAAATACACCACTGATTCAACCCAATGAAGCCGAGCCAATCAATTGAGTTGATTGAAGAGGCTAAGTTGGACTCAATACTTAACAAGATGGATATTGGTCCTAGATGTTAGAAACTTAAAATATACAATCAAATTTGATATTATTTAGAAAAAGACCTTATATCATCAAAGAAGTATTTGATAACATGTAATACCAATTTAAGATATTAGACATAGAAGATTATTTTTGTCAAACTTATAAAAGTTGTTGTAAAGAATATAAAGTATAATCATTAGATATAATTTCAATGCATTTAGAATACTTTATAATCAGCTCTAAGCTAATTTTATATAGGTTTTATATTTTTTAGTATATTTTGAGAAAATAATTTTAAACTATAAGCAAGAAATAACATTTAATAGTTATAAGCCTTATTTAATTTTTTAAATATTGTTTAAGATTTAAAAGGTTTTACAAGTGATGAGAGCATTGTCAAGTAAAAAGAAATAATACTAGAGTTTTTGTGAGTCTTAGACAAAATTATCCTAGTAGGATTAGGATCTTATTCAATATGAATTAGTCCAAGTTGATACAATAATGCTTGAGAATTATATAAGCAACTTCAAAAATATGTTTTAGATACTCTCTTACCATAAAATAGAAAGTACATTCAAATCATTTATTTTCTAAAAGACTCTTTTATAGCTTAACTTTAACTACCAACAAACTTTAAGTAATAGCCAAGTATTGCATCTTGAAAATAATACATATCAATGTTGAACAATTATTTGTAGTTAAAGCTTGTAATGCTTAGTTTTTAGAAGACTTGGTATTCAAATATCACCATGATCAAGAAAGAGGTCTTAAACATATTAAACTCATCTTTGATATAAAAACCACTTTAAATGTTACAAGAAGGACCTAACATCTAATACATCTTGGAATGTCATCTATACCTTCAATGATATATTAATATCATTTGTAGATAATGTTTTATTCGTATTCAACTATAAAGGCCTTGTATACTAGCCCTTTGCATCAATGATCCTACAAGCAAGAATCCAAAATATAGAATAACAAATCTCTCCAGTTGTATAGATGAAAGTATGATTACATCTTATAAAGGTTATACTATGTCAAATATAAATCCAAGTTAGGTCCAAGCTATGTTAAGATCTTAGTTTTTAATCAAATATATTGAAGTCTAAAATCTATCTTTTGAATGGTGTTATAGAAGTGTTGAAGAGCATACTTTAGAAAAGATGACAACATTGTTAGCTAACTCAATTAATCAAAGGCAATTTGACAGAATTGATCTAACAAATAGTTTTAAACCAAAATAGTATTAAAAAAAAATTTAGTTAAAGATACTTGATCCACATAAACTTTGGCATAATAGGATCTAGATGATAATAAAGAAAGCATAGACATCATAATTCAAATAAGAACCAAATGTTTGTAAATCTACATTAGCACAAATTAGATTGATAAAATGAAAGACATTTAGTCATTTACAATTAATCAAAATAATATGAATTACTATAAAAGCTATAGAGTATGATAATACATAATTCAAAAAATAAAAAAAAGAATCCAATAGTAGTAAATGTTTTATATAAGATAAAAGATTTTTATTTATATTATTGATAATATAAGGTTTTTTTGAAATTATAGATAGATTTAGACTATTTTTCTAATATACTATTTTTTTCTCTTCTTATTTTTTTGAAATAAGACTAATCTTTGTATTCTTTATTAAAGTCAAGTTAGATGCATTTTAGCTTCAATTAGTAGTTGGTGCAATATTTCTTCTAATAAGGATCGTGCCTACAACTTATCAACTTCAAAACATGAGGGGCCATTTTTTCTTTGATACTAGCAAATTGATATTCAACAAACAAAACTATTATCTAGTATTGATCTAAAGTGACAATGCAACCTCTTTAGGATAAAAGTAAGTTTGAAGAAAAGCTTTTAATCTATTAGATTAAAAATCTAAATATGTCTAAAGTATCGAAAGTAAGAATTTTTATAATATATTTTATTAATATATATTACTAATATAAGAAGTATTATTAATAAAATTTCTATATAGTAAAAAATCTAAAAATAGAAAATATTTGCTTATAATTTATTGTATAAATTAAGTAGTATAATAAATAAATAAGAATATCAAAATACAAATAAAAACTACAAAAATAAAAATAAGTGAAAGAAGAAAAATATAAAATTTTAATATTCCAAATTTAAATATAGTTTGTTTATTAGATTTTTTTTTCATAGATAATAAAATTACAAAGTAAAAAATTGAAATTAATAAAATTAGACTTTATCTTATTTTAATTTTTTTACAAGAAAATTAAAATTGCTTGAAAAGTTAAAATTACTATTTTTTTTTTTTTTTTTTTAGTGACTTGAAGATAAGTAGTAAAATATTAAAAATTCAAGCAATATGAATTTATCTCAAATACAACTTCATTATATTATCAAAGATTTAATCCTTACTAAGGCTTGTAAATTTTGCATAGGATATTTTAGAAGGTCTACAAGTTGTAAGGCTTATTCTCTTAATTACTTCCTAGGTGTTGCAATCTTTATCAAACATAAGCATCCAATGTCCTATTAGCTGTGAGCCATTTTAGTTTTTCAAAATGTATAGAATTTTTTGTTTTTTTTTTTTTTTTTTTTACTTTAAATGTGATTTTGCTCAAGTGTTTAAAAGTATTGAATCAGATTATAAATTTGTAGTGCTTTTAAATCTTGTTTCAAAATTTTAGTAAATTTCTTTAAAAGAAAGTAGAAGATCTCTATAGTCAATTGCTTTGCCAATGGAACAACTTGTAATATCTACATAAAAAATCGTGACTTAAGAACGACCATAAGACACCTACTTGGTACTAGACCATATTTGTCTTTGTATTCAACATTATATTTCAAATGTATTAAATATTTTATGAATTTTGTATAATTATTGTATAGCTATTATATTTGTTCCATATTTTTATTTGTATCAATATTATTATTTTAGTAGGAATGTAGTATAAAATGAATTACTAGTTAAAAAAATAATTTCTCCTCTAGTTCTAATTAAAATAAAGTGATGGATTACACCCAATACCTGTGTGTAGAGTGCTGTGTTGTGAGTTGTATAACAAAAGTTCATTAATTTCTAATTTCTTTTGACATGGTTTATGATTGTGAAGAGCAATCTTGTATTTTATTGATTAGTAATCGAAGTTTTCATGTTTTTTATGAAAACATGAAAATATAAAAGACAAAAATCCAACATATATTATCAACACATTCAAACGCATAGTCTATGTACATCTAAGGCATCAAAGACAGCTCCCGAAAATGTTACACAACCGGGCATGTTCAACTCAACCATGTTAACAACAACCGCCCAGTCCCCAAAGCGTTGCACTATTCTCCACAGTCGGTAAAAAAATGCTCCATGACGCGACTTCCACATCCGGTTCAAAAAAACCCAAAATTTACGGCAGAATAATGTTCCAAGACAATGAAATGCTACCGACAAGCGAGCAGTGAAAATATCAACATATATTCTCCAACCTGTGTACAACTTTCCACTTGCGCCGATAAACCAGATGCACCCCATAAAATCGCTTCTTCAACAGTGCTGCCGAAGCCAGCACTCGGCGACTGTGCAACTCCATCACAGGGGCTCCCTCAATAGCATGGACCCGCAGGATTGCCTTCTTGGATACTTGCTCCGAAACAGTTGCCCGCCTTGCAACTGGCACACGTTGTCTCAGGCTGCGTGGAAAGTCAATAACGAACCAGGCGGTACCAGTGGGATGGGAGATGGGGATGACACATAAATCGACCAGCACGTCGGAGCCCTTCACCATTCGAGCTCAGCTTCCGCATCGGTGGGGTGGTGCAGGAGGGGTGGTTGCGGAGAGCGGACGCACAGTCCCCGACCGGCGAGTCCAGCCGGCAAGCACATCGACCTGCAGCCTAATTCTCAGCTCGTGGATCGGACTCCTCGGTGGTGAAAGGTGGGCAGGACGTTCACGACGACCACGGCTTCGGGCACCATGAATCTCGCCGGCGTCGCAGTGCTGATCCTGGCGTTCCTGGCGTTCCTGGCGGTGCGCGCGGAATGTGAGTCTCTGTCGACGTCTCTTTCTGCTTGAAGTCACGAGTGCTTGTGGGGCTGCATGTCACCGAATTTCGTCGCCGTTTTAGGAATCGTTTGTACATGTAGTGTTCGCTGACGGTGTTATGGAATGTTGTGTGCGTCCCGGGTGTTGCAGCCAATCCAGCAGTCCAATGCAGTACGTTCAACCCCAGGAGTGCCTCCTATTGCCCCGAGGGACGAGGCTCCACGTGCAGAGTGGTAATTAGCAAACAAAACCAGTACACCTACCCTGGCTGCGGAAGTTGCACCAAGACGGGTAACACGGTCACTTGCTCGACCATCGGCATCACGTTCCAGTTCACGGGGACCGATCAGGTCGAAATCTCGTACAACCCAAGGTTGATTACGAGGGTGAACCAGGCGGCCGTGAGGTACGAAGAGAACAAAGAGTGCCGAACTCAGTCACGGGCGCCCTGCTCGAATCCGCTCCGGCTCACGACACCCACAGTGCAAGGAAGACCCGGACCCGCAATTTGCGAGGTCCAAGTGTGTTACAACCGTAAGTTTCCACGCACTGGGCCTCCTCGTCGTTCTCCAACTTGAGAAGCCAATGCGCGGCCCCTGAGCGAGTTGTCCAGATGCAAGGTTTGGTGGTGCGTGTACGGTAGGGGTGGTTTCCGGTCCAGCGTGCAATGCGGTTTCGCGATGGGAGGGGTGACCTGGAGCTGGTTTGCTGAGCGTTCCCTGATTCGTGTTGTTGTGGGCATGTGCATTTGCGGTGGCATCAGCCGTCGACTGTGGTGACGAAGGCAGCCTCTGTGGCGACCCCAAGATCGTGGGAGGCGACGGCGTGATGTTCTACTTCCACGGCTACAAGGGCGCAGACTTCTGCCTCGTGTCCGACAGCGACCTGCACATCAACGCCCACTTCATCGGCATGCGGCCCGAGGGCCGCACCCGCGACTTCACGTGGGTGCAGGGTCTGGGCTTCGTGTATGGCCCGCACTCCCTCACCGTGGGCGTGAAGAAGGTGGCCAAGTGGGACGCCACCGTCGACCAGCTGGAGTTCACGTACAACGGAAGGGCGTTCGAGCTGGAGGGGTCCTCGTGGAGGTCTGACCCCGACGAGACGATGACGATCAACCGCGTGGGCTCGAGGAACGCCGTGGACGTGGTGGTGAAGGACAAGATGGGAGTGGTGCTGACGGCGCTGCCCATCGGGCACGAGGAGAACCGAGTGCATAAGTACGGCATCGGCGATGACGACTGCTTCGCGCACTTCAACATGCAGTTCAGGTTCTTCAGCTTGTCCTCCAAAGTGAACGGCGTGCTGGGCCAGACCTACCAGCCCGGGTTTGTGAACCCCGTGAAGAGGGGCGTTGCCATGCCGATCATGGGCGGATCCGACCGCTTCATCACGTCTTCCCTCTTGGCGACGGACTGCAAGGTGAGCCAGTACACGGCGACGGCCGTGGCACTCCGGGACAAGTCGACGCTGCCCAACCTGACTTCGTGCGGAAGCAGCGCCTCGGGCGCGCTGACGTGCCGCAGGTGATTGGGAATGCGGAGGACGCAGTAGGAGCTGCGCAGCGCCCGAGTGTGCGGTCGGCGCTCGGGAGGATGACTCCCGGTGGGCAGGCGGTTCCGACGAGTGGAGGACCGGGCGGTCCACGGTCCAGTCGGTGGCGTTGGGGCTTTAGTGCAGGATAGCGATAGTAGACTCGTTTGCGTCACGTGTTGGACGCGCAATTCGATGCTCCGATGGCGCATGAGCCTCGGGATGCTGATAAAACTCAGTCGATGTTTCTGGGAAGACATGCGGCTGCTGTGGTTTGTACTTTGGGACTCGGCTCCGGTCGACATGCATGAATCCAAATTCGAAACCAAATGTAGGTGTGCAGTGTACGGGCGCTGGTGAAGTGATTGGAAATGATTGCATGTGAGGGAGATGATCGCATGGTTGATGCTGTAATCTTCACCAAGGAGGCAGCTGCTTCGCGCGTGTGAAGCAGCGCACTGATGAATCGAATGGTTTTTCATACTTACAGGAATCCACGAGTGACACGAAGAAGCGTCCGCTTGTACGGGGCACTCTCGATGTGGAGAAAGTGTAGCATCATGTTGACAGCGCACGGTTCAGTTGTTGAGTTGTTCTTTACAACATACACAACTTGTTCGACACATTCATGCGTCTTGTTTGCAATTCTATCTCAATTTCTACTTACTGTTTTTGAAGTTGTTCTGCGACACCACAGCTGGCAATATTGTTGTGAAGTTACACATTTTGTTGCAAAAGTGTTGCCAAATTGGCATTGGTATTATGTTGTAATACACCATGTACTAATGCACAAATTGAAAGATTTAAAGCAATGAGAATCTTACTAGACCTAAATATCAGAACTTCTCAGAAGTGCGACATGATTTCAATGTTTTTTTTTATGTTAGATTTACTTTATTGAAAATTATATTTATATATCTATTACTTGTTTTTCATCCAAGTAATTTTACTGCTATTGAAGTCGATCAAGCAATAGTACAAAGAATGTGTTTTCTGGCAATTGTGCATTCGCACTGATTCACTTTACAAGATTGTCTTTGAGACACTATAATACTAATTTTCTGATATGTATGCAAATCAGAACTTACACACTTTTGAATGGAATATTGAGTGTATATTGTACACTGAACTACACGGAGATAGTTGCGATTCACATTTCTATGTAGAAAGTCAAATGATTGTATTTATTTCACATTCTTACTCATTCCTGGAAAATTTCTATATCCAAATGTTATTTTTCATCTCCTACTTAGTCGGCTTTGAAAGTTGTAATACCCAATAAGGAATGTAATTGAATGAGTTGATCTAGGAGTTGAGCTTTTGTAAAAATATTTGTTGTGTGGTTTGAAGTCAAAATTTGAACCCTAAATCAACTTCTTATATCTCTTCAAGCTCACAAATGAAGAAGTTTTTTATATCAATATATTTGGTTTATTTCTAAAAAATTAGGTTTTTAAATAGAATTAATATTCTTTAATTGTTGCTTGAAATGACAATTGATATGGACTAGAATATTGCAATATTGAATAGGAGGCATGATAACCAAATTAGTTCATTTATTGGCTTGGCCATTGCATGAATCTTAGTAGTAGTAATGAAATTTGTTGTACATACTTGGCACTTGCTAGACCATGAGACGGATTCATCAAATAAAATGAATATATAACTTTCATTGAAGTTACCTTCAAAATTAAAATTACAAGAACCATGTTGGTCAAGATGACAAGTTTGATAGAAGTGAAGGCCAAAGTTGATTGTTTCTTTAAGATATTGCAAAATTTTCTCTAAAGTATTTTATTGTCAATGTTTTTGAAGTTGCTGATATCAAATTGCTTGATTGATAGCAAGCTCTATGTTAAGATAAGTATTGACTATTGCATGCATTAAACATCTAACATATAGAGTGTATAAATATGTAATTAATAAATCACCTTGTAAATTAACAAGGTGAAGAGATGTAAGTTTGGTAGAAGTAAAAATTGTGCCATGGACATATATATATTTATATTAAAAATCACTTAGATTAGAGGAATTAGATAGAAGTTTTATAATATTTCATGGATAAGCTTCTTAAAAGCTTTATAGATATGAATTTGGCTTTTTAAATATTGATGGGTGATTTATATGTTGAAAACTTAGCCCATAAGTTGGCCACATTTTACATGTGTTAGCTACTTGTGGTGCATTATTAAAAAATCAATCTTACAAGTTAGCCACATGTCTTTTAAGTTGGACACATATTAGAGTTTCTACAAAATAAAGCTATATTGCTCTTAGTTAAGTAGTTTATATGATAAGACAAATAAAACAATAAAAAAAAATGTAAAAGAAATCAATGAGGCATCAAAGTTTGACAATAAATTGACTATCATAAATGACTATTATAAATATGGTGGTAGCTTAAAAACCTAGTCACATGACTAAAAAAGCTTTTTAAAAAAAATCCTAAAATTAAATTAAGAATAGATTAAAAATTATGATTAAGGAGAGAAAGATTCACAAATTTTATCTTGAAATCTTATAGGTTCTTATATACTTTGTTCTTTATATTATTTAAAATTGAAAAAATCCTATTTTTATAAAAATTATATATTATATTATGTTCTATCTTTTCAATAAATGATTGAATATATCATGTAGAAAGGTCTTAAGGACAAATTCCTAATAGTTTGGATATTAGTATAAGCTAGGATAAGTTAAGTAGTTAATGAAAGAATCTAGCTAGTGTGAAGATGTTTTTGATCTATTTTTGGATTATATAATTATGTACTTGATTATGTGAATTAGTTGTTGAATGCTTAATTTTTATTCACTTGAATATATTAGCACCATTGCAAGTTTTTTCATAGATGATTTCTTTTCATTTTAGCATGACACCTTTGAGCCAAATCTTTTCTTAAACAAACAATACTACAATATTTATAAAAACATTAGTTTTCAAAGTTAATAAATCTTGGTTATATTAATTTATGAAAAATATGTAAAATAAATCTATTTTTATCTATATCTATTTAATAATTTAGATAAATATTAGAATAATCATATATATTTATGACATTATTTCTCCTTCTAGTAGCAAGTTCTATGAAGAGTGGTTATGATATGTTGAAGAAATCTAAGATGTAGCAAATTGTGTTTGCTACATACTATGATTTTTATTCTCTTTGAAGGTTGTCGATAGGTCCTCTCAGCTACTAATAGTATCTTATGCTACGGTGTCGTATTACGTGCTTTCCTGCTCGAGAACGCGCCGGGCGTCTGGCTGTAGAAGGTAGTATGGAGATTCGCCGATAGTCAAGCAGTCTATCAGTTTTTGACTGCTGGAATATAAACGACTGCAACAATGTACCGTAAATCTATACGGGTGCTCTTCGACTGCTTGTCGAAGTCCTTTTTGCCCAGCCGGTAGGTCTCTAGACATTACAGAGAACCCCGTACAACCCAAACTGTTAACCTTCAATACTGCTTTGTACTTACGATCTTGTATCCACTGATTGTTTTGTTAGATTAACCCAATAAATTTCATTCACTCCGCATACTCAATCCTATAGACATCCTTTTAATCCTTCAATCACAGACGTAACTCGATTTCATAAAACAGTCAAGAGTATTCAAATCCACTTCATTTAAAAATCCCGATTCACCATTACAACACTGACTTCAGCAGCGATTGCCTCAGTCTTCCCAAAACTCTACGAAGAAGAAAAATCCAAATTCTATGTCTTTCCTTCTCCAACCCGAAGCATGAAGCTCCTCTCTCTAATTCCCTTGATCTTCCAAAAACCTCCAATGAAAAACCCAACTGATAACCTTCCAAAAGCTTGAAAACTCGCTCCCCCCTCGATTTCCCTCAAAAAAAAAAAACCACACCCAAAACTATATCCCACCTAACCTTATCCTCTGAATTTCTTCAATCTTCCATCTTAGATTCGGAATTGGCTCCCACCTCAAGCTTGGATCCGAAATTGACTCTCGCCGTCAACTTGGATTCGAAATTGGCTCTCACCGCCAAGCTTTTTCCTCCGTTTTTACCTTTAAGAAATCCATTTACCGAAAACAACGTTCCCTGAGACGGCACAGAGAACAGGACAGCCTGAAACAGAATCGAACCCCGTAATCGGGACCACATTGAGTCGCCCGACCAATTCAGGTCCTATATTGGTAAAGATGCCCGTAGTAACCTAGATGTTCCCGTAATTAGATTGCATTGGGTTGCCCCACCAATACAGGTCTCATATTGGGTAAGAGGACCCGGATTGGATTATCGAAATTGGATCTTATTGGCTCCTCGAACCCATCGTGTGAATTGGTCCTTCTCTTCCTGCTGACTTCCGTTATTGGAATCGAACGGGGCATTTCAATATGCCCCGGCTGACTGTAACGGAGTCATTGAACCTGACCACTCAGTATTTGTACTGGAGTTGGTCGATGCTCCCAATATTCGAGGTAACTGAATATTAATAAAATTCCCCTTTCTTTTTATTTTCACTGTATACTCGTGTCACAACACGACATCCACCCCCTCTGAACCTGTGCATCCTCCGGTATGCACCAATTTACCCAATTGCTATTTGATTCAGAATATATCCCCTACGTCTTTGTCTTGTTCATCTTCGTCACCTTCATTATCCATATCACTTTCATCTTCTTGCTGCAGAATCTCTGTACCTTCATTAAGGTCTTCCATATTCATCTCTGCGTGTCTTCGTTTAAATATTTTTACTCTCTTCCCTGCAATTGGTATTTTCAATTTTGTACCATCTAACTCCCGTAATGAGTAAGTCGCATTATCATGAACAGTTGTTACAACATATGGTCCAAACCAACGTTTTGAAAATTTCCGCAAAGTACTATGTTGATTATCCAGACTATTGTCATAAACAAGTACCCAGTCACCTTCCTCGATTGCTTTTGGTCTCAATCGATGTTGCTTATCGAATCGCGCCTTGTTTTGTAACCTTGCTCTTTTTAACCTTTCCAATGCTATCTGGACATCTTCCGTTCTTTGCTCCAATTGTCGAATCCTAATAGCCAGAAGTTCTTCTCTTGTCAATCCATCTACTCATGGTAGCATACTCCAAGTAAGTACCTTTTCTTCAATCGGCATAATTGGTTTTTGACCTGTCATAAGTTCTACTGGCATATATCCTGTCATCCAACTATGTGTTGTTCGATCAGCCATAATGCAAATGACAAAAGCCGTGGCCACTCTTTAACCTTTCCATTACAAGCTTTAACTAATGCTTTCACAATCGGCGGGTGACCGCGTTCGCTTTTCGCATTCCCTTCCGGATTATAAGCAGTAGTCAGTGATAGTTTAACTCCACATCTTTCAAAGAACTTACGAGCTTCTTGTGCATTTAATTCTCCACGATCTGCAGTGATTTTTCCTACGCACCCGTAATGGCAAATGACATCTTCAAGCAAAAACCTACAAATCCCCTCTGTAGATTTTGTCCTCAATGCTCTTCCTTCTACTTGATTTGA